CTCCCCAGAGGGACGGAGGAAGACACCAGCAGGAAGGACGAGCTCCCCAATGGGCTCCTGGCCACTTGCCTCCCCCAGCGGGATGGCGTTGCTCCGGCTGCCATCCAGAGCCACCGGCTCCTTCTTCCGCAGCATCTTGACCTCCTGGTAGACGGCACCGCCACGGTGGTTGAAGGGCAGGACCTTGACGGCATCCACAAACCTCTGCTGCCGGTCCACAAAGCGAGCCACCAAGCGCTGCGTGTCCGGCGGCACCTCGATGGTGAAGGAGCCCTTGTACCCGGTGAAGCCGACCTTCCTCCTGCCCAGGAAGATCTGCCCGAAGCGCAGGGGCTCGCCAGTGTCGGCTGCCGTCACCCGGCCCTGCACCAGGATGCGGGGCTGGGCACAGGGACCGCAGCCGCACTCGGCCACCACCTTGATGGGCAGCAGGGAGCTGGCGCAGGGAATCTCCCGCATCTCCATCCTGCGCACGCCGCAGCAGCTCCCCGTGTCCTCCCCGCACGCCGCCGCCTCACTGGGGCTGCTGGCGCATGGGGTGGGTGGGCAATGGCCCACGTTGTAGTAGCGGGAGCCGGTGGCATCCTGCGGGCACTCGCTGGGCAGCTCCACCAGGCTCGGCTCAGGCTCTGCCTTGCAGCTCTGCTGGCCCTGGGCTGGGGGCACAGCAAGGATGGGGTTAGGGAGACCCTCCCCACCACATGCCCCATCCCAGGGTGATGCTGCAACCCCATCCTGAGGTGATGCTACTGCTGCCCCATCCTGGGGCAATGCTGCAGCCCCATCCCGCGGTGATGCTGCAGCCCCATCCCGCGGTGATGCTGCAGCCCCATCCCAAGGTGATGCTGCAGCCCCATCCCGCGGTGATGCTGCAGCCCCATCCCACGGTGATGCTGCAGCCCCATCCCAAGGTGATGCTGCAGCCCCATCCCTTTCTCACCCAGCACGGTGAGCTCTGCCGGTGCCGACCTGATGGCACCTGCCTCTGTGCTGGCCTTGCAGTGGTAGGTGCCAGCCTGCTTTGGTGCCAGTCCCCGCAGCACCAGGCGGCTGCCGTACCGGTGCACCTTCCTCTCCAGCAGTGTCCCATTGTGGTACCTGTGGGCATGGGGATGGGCTCAGCTGGGACTCAGCAGTGGCTGCCTTTTCCCACCATTCCCAGTCCCAGACCCAGCTCACCAGTAGTATTTCTTTGGCATGGGGGTGCCTGAGGCTTTGCAGCAGAAAGTCACCTCCTGCCCAGCCACCCGCACCTTCGTCTTGGGGTGCAGCACCATGTAGGGCTTCTCTGTAGGGGAGAAAGGTGGCAGAGGGTGCTCCCCCCTCACCATGCACCCTCACCATGCACCCTTGGGGGGGACCCTCAAGGGGTGCATGGGCAGGTCCTCATCCCCACACCTCAATGCTCACCCAACCTCTGCAGCCTCACGTGTGCTACCGCCACGCCAGAGCCGTTGGAGGCGATGGGTGCCAGTGCTGGGGCGAAGCCATGCCGGTGGGCACTGATGTTGGCGGCGGTGCCTTGGCACAGCCCCGTGGCGGTGAAGCGTCCGTGGGCATCGCTATGGGCCAGCAGCACTGGCGGGCGGCCCTCCAAGTAGATGCGGGCATCCGGCAATGCCAAACCAGAGGCAGAGACGACGGTGCCCTGCAGTGTGTGCTCAGGGCAGGCTGCAGGGCAGCACGGTGCTCAGCTCCGTGGCCATGGGCAGTGGTGGGGCTGCATGGGTTGGGGGGCACCACCAGGGAAGGGGTCCCCGTGTCCCCGAGGGCAGGTACCTGGGCAGGGCGAGGGGGGACATTTCTGCACCTCGGTGGGACGGCCGCTGCACGGCACCTTCTTGGCTGTCTTGCAGCTCCTGCGTCGGATGCGCTTCCCGGTGCTGCCGCAGCTGCGGGAACAGGGACCCCAGGAGCCCCACTCTGTCCATGCCGGCTCTGTGGGGCAGACACTGGGTGGGCATTGGGCACCACATTCCCCACCAAGCCCCCAGCCTGGGGTGGCCCTGCATCATGGGGACACGGGGTTGTCTCCAAGAGGGAAGGCTCCATCGTGGCAATTCCCAGCTCACCCTGGTGTGCCCCTGCCCCACTGTTTGTACCAGCGCTGCCTCTGTTACTGCAGTGCAGCTGAGGAGGAGGTGGCAGCAGTGGCTTTGCCAGGGACCAGCCATGCCAAGGGACTCCCTCATGATGCATGGACCAGGAGAGGAGCTGGAGATGGGCAGCACGATGCAAGTGGCACTGGGATGCTGGGTGCCTACCTGGACAGGGGCCAGCGCTGCACGTCCGTCGCTCCATGGCTTTGCCCTTGCACTTGATCTCCTTGAGCACAGCCGCCAGCCGGGCATTGACGCAGCGGCGGGTGCGGGTCTGGGTGCCGCTGGTGCCGCACGTGCTGCGCGAGCAGGGGCTCCAGGAGGACCAGTGTGACCAGTAGATGTGCTCTGGGAGCGGCAGAGGCGTTAGCTGAGAACCCACTGCTCACAGAGCCCAGTGTCATGCATCCAAGGGATGATTGATGGAGCTGGAGGGGGGCCTGGTGTAACCACAGCTCCGGCAGCACCCAATGAGGTACAACCGGATGATGAGCAATGGGCATGGAGCCCCACAGAACATGTCAGTGGGGCCTGGGGAGGGGCAAAGTGGGACACAACAGGGCCAAGCACTCACCCAGCGGGCAGAGGAAGCGGATGTGGTAGTTGGAGCAGGTCTTGCCTGGCGGCTGCTCCTTGTTGATGCAACGAAAGCCTTTCTTGGGGCTGATGTGCACCACCTCACCCACGTCCTCGGGCAGCTCCCACTCAGTGGTGCGGGCCTGGATGGCCACTGGCCGCTCGCAGACACGGCCCCGGTAGTAGAAGCGAATGGCCTCCAGGCTCTCGTGGTCCCCGTCCCCCCCAGGGTGGTCAATGTTGAACCATGACGTCCACTCAGCTCCTCTGCCTGGGATGGAGCAAGTCCTGAGCATGTGGATGGGGAGCAGCACCCTCATCCCTAAGCACCCTGGGGTGCTACCAAGGCTGGGGACAGCTTGGGGACATCGAGGACTGCATGGAAAAAGGATGAATGGGTGAAAGCATTTGGAGATGCGGCGGGGAAGCCTTGAGGATCACCGGCTTGGCACCACATCCCTGCTGCAAGGGTCCCATGGGGGGTGACAGCGTCTCCAGGCTGGCATGGTGGGCATCATACATGCAGCCCCTTTGGGGTGCCCCAGTTGCAGGTTCCTGGTGGGGGCTCAGGGACAGCCGTACCTGCCGTGTCCAGGTCGAGCTCTGCCAGGCTGGGCGCTGCTTTCCAGGGTTTCCCCACGGTGCTGCTCTTTCCCGGCTCCGAGTCGTTCTCCAGGGGCTCTGGGGGAAGCCCAGGGTGGGAGCACCCAGCACTGGGGCACTCTCTCCCCAGGGCACCCAGTGGCGCCCAGCCAGTCCTTTGCTCCCTGGGCATGCAGTGGGCACCATCCCACAGCAGCAGTGGGGACTCAACCCTGTCCCCTCCCCACCTGCAGCTGGATGGATTTTGCCCCCAGACCAGGGACATTCCAGTCTCACACAGCCTTTGGCAGCTTGAGGGACCCCACGGGGCTTCGGAGCCTCAGCACCAGGCAGCAAAAGCCCCGTGGAGCAGGTGGTGGCAGAGGCACCAGCGAGTCCTGATGGTGCTCAGCCATCCAGTGGCAGAGCAGGCAGGACCAATGGGGACATGGGACAATGCATGTCCCCATCTCTTTGGTGACATGGCACAGAGCATGTCCCCATCCCTCTGGTGACATGACCCTGGGGATGGTAAAACTGCCCTGAGCCTCACCACCACATCCTCCCAACACCAGATTCCGAAGGGACCCCCTGCAGCTGTGGCCATGACCCTAGCTCACCTCTGGCCCTGGCACACGTCTGGAGAGCGTTCAGCCCCATCCCTCTCCTGCCCCACATCACCACCACCACCCCCTGGGAGGACCAGGATGCCTGGGGGGATTCCCATTGATAGACGGCAGCCCCGGCCTTACCTGATGCGCCGGCACCGTGCAGGGCGGTGAGAGCCAGGAGGGCCAGCACCAGCTTCCCCATGGCCACCAGCGCAGCTGCAGCTCCGCCGGCAACTGGGAGCGCGGCGGCCCCGCGGGTCTATATATGAGGTCTTTCCCCCTCGCGCCGTCAGACGGCAGCACGCGGCTGCTGGCGCGGGCGCCCTGGCTGGGTGTCAGGGGGCAGCGGGAAGGAGCGGCCCCAGCCCGGAGCTCCAGGCTTTGTTTTTGCAAAGCTGCTAAAATTGGATGCGCTCGGGAATGCGGAGGGGAGGGAAGGGAAAAACGCGGCGCGAGCCCAGCCCCGGCGCGCTGCGGTCGGGTCACCGGTGCCAGCGCTGCCCTGGCACCCGTCGCCGTGGGGCACGGCGGGGCCGTGACCTGGCCCGTGGCGTGTGCCGGAGCCGCCCGGGTCCCGGTGCCGCTGAGGCCGGGCAGAGCGCGGGGCACCCACGGCCCCAGCTGCAACCCGGGATGCAAAGTGTGACGGTGATGGAGAGGGGACCCCCAGAGGGCAGCAGATCCCGGCTGGGGGTCACAGCCCCATCCCACAGCCCGACCAGCGGAAATCCCAGCGCATTCCCTGCATTCCCCAGAACTCCGGCTGTACCAAGCAACCCGGGGCGGGGAGGGGGCTCCCAATGCTGTTGTGTAGTCATGGGCACACCTCTGTTAATTAAAACACCCTGTTAATTAAAGCCCCATGGTGAGGGACTGCTCCCATTCCCCTTCCCTGGCACATTGGAGGTTTCAGGCTATGGAGGGCTGCCAGTGTCCCCATGAGACAGGTGATAGAGGGGGTCACACCAGGTCTGTCCCCAGAAGCAGGTTGGTGACAGGTCCCAGGGACACGGCATGGGGTGTGTGTGTGTGTGTGTGTGTGTGTGTGTGTGTGTGTTGTCCAAGCTGTTCACGGGGCATGGAACCGAGTTCTGGTGCCCCAGGGGGTCCCCAGGCAGACACCGACCCCACAGCAGAGCCACCAAGCGCTTTATTGGCGGGGGGCTCGCAGGGCCACCACGCACTCGGTGCCGGGGTACTCGGGGGGGTTGAGCTCGAACTTCTTCTGCACATCGTAAGGGAGGAAGCGGCCGGCCACGAAGTGCTGGCGGCCCAGGAAGCGGCGGGCGCACTGCTTGGGTGCCGACAGCGACACCAGCACGTCGGGGCTGATCCCGCCGCTGCTCCCGGCCTCCACGTCCCATCCTGCGGCGGGAAGAAGGACACGGGGAGAGAGGCTCAGGGGTGAGCCCGGCGGCGGCGATGGGGAGGGCACAGGGACGTGGGGTCCCCCCCGCATCAGCACCAGCATCACCACCCTGCGCCGCTCCAGCCGCATCCTGGCACCGCCGGGGGTTTTTCTTGGTGGGGATTCACCAGTGGCTGTGCCAAGGGCTCCTGTTTGCTCCCGCAGCCCGGGGGGGGGGGGGCGCGGGGGGGGTGATGGCAATTCCAGGCCTGGCCACCAGACACCCGGGTGTTTTCAAATTACATCATGTCTCAGTTCAGGGAGTTTGTTATTGATCGTGGATGCCCTGAACGCGGTCAGGGGGAGCAGGCGCCAGCCCTGGCTGCCGGTGGGAATGCTTCCAGGCTGGGAGGGGGGGAAATGGGGGGTCCCCGGGGCTGCCCCCACCCCGCGACGGCACCACAGGAGTTCTCCAGCCACCCGGGCAATGAGCCCATGGTGATGCTGCGCTGGGCAGGGTGGCAAGCGGGGGTGGGGGGGTGTGTGTCCCATCCTGCCCAGGGGATGCCGAGCGCGGTGTCGGACCTGAGGGCACGTCCAGGCTGACGATGGGGATGCGAATGAGCTTCAGGGTGCTCAGGATGGCGGCACAAGGCTCCCTCCCCTCCGCTGCCTCCGCCTCGGCTCCCAGCACCGCATCCACCACTGCGTTGTAGGCATCATTGATGAGCTGCACCTTAAAGGGGACACACACACAGGGTGGGCAGCAGGTTCCTGGTGTCCTCCCCAGCTCCAGGCACCCTCACGCGGGGATCCCGTTTTCCTGCCTAAATAGACTCACCCAGCAGCAGCTGCCAAAACATCCCCCCCTCCTAACCAAGGCAAAGGGGGAGGATGATGCGGGGGGGGCAGAGCCCGGCACGCCGAGACGCGTGGCCCCAGCCAGGGCAGCGCTTTCGGGTCACATTCCTGCTCCCGCCCGAGCCAGGTGCTTCCAACAACAACAGAGCTGGTGGCTGGCGGGGCCGCGGCGGCCGCCGCTGGATTTCATGGCATTCCCGGGCTCCCGGCATTGCCAGGGGCAGGAAAGGGCGGGGAGGGAATAAAGAAAGACTAATCAAGTGAAGCATGTCAGGCGGCGGGGGGCTCACCTCGGTGGGGAGGTAGGACAGGAAGGGGATGTCCATCTTCTCACACTGCGTCGTGAAGTCCTGGTACAGGGGGTCCGGGGAGCGTTTGGGGTAGAAGATGGTGGGTTCATAGTCCTGGGTGGCAGAGAACAGGGATGAGATGGAGCCCGGCATCGCTCGGGAGTGAAGAGGAGCAGGGGAGGAAGATACCTACAAAGATCCGGAGGTGCCGGGCACACACCAGCCCGATGGCCCCGTTCTGTGCTGGGCCGCACACCACCAGCACCGTGGGCTGCTTCCGAGGTAGCGATGGCAGCGGGAAGGCCTGTGGGGATACAGCGACGTGGTACCGAGCCCCCCGGGTATGGCAACCGGTGCTGGGAATGTGGCAGAGGGATGTGCTGCTGGAGGGCAGCAGGGTGTGTGGTGGGGTGATGCCCGAGGTGGGATGGGGATGGCACCCAGGGCAGGACAATGCCAATACTGGGATGAAGATGATGCCCATGGTGGGATGCAGATGGTACCTATGGTGGCATGAGGATGATGTCCACGGTGAGATGAGGACGATGCTCATGGCGGGACAGGGCTCCCCGCCAGCCCACAGGGAGGTGGCCACAGCTCCACATCGCAGCAGCCTGTACAGGGAGACTCTGTTTATCCCCTGACAGCTTTTTTCCTGCTCCTGGAGCCTGGCTCCTGCTCCCAGCCCCTGGCGCTGCCCGCGGCTCTGGGGACGTGCCGGGAGAGGACGGCGCTGGGGATGCCCAGAGCTGGACTCGGGATGATAACAAGGAAGAGGAGGATGCTTGGGCCCATGAGGAGGATGCTCAGCTGGGGCTGGCAGTGGAGCTGTGGCTCAGGGGTGGGCAGCCCCATGCTGTGGGACCAGGACCAGCCCTGAGGCAGCCCCAAGATCCAGAGAGGCTCCAACAACCCAGATACTCCCTCTCAGGCAACTCCTCTGCCCTCAACGAAGGGGAGGGTGCAGCAGCTCCAGACACACGGAAAAGCTGAGGCAGGCGGGCGCGGAGCTCACTGGCCTCCAAGGCACAAAGCTGCCCTTGATGCTGCCTCCTCCACCTCCTCCTCCCGTCCAGCAGAAGCAGGAAGCTCTCACAGCAACAGCAGAGGACTGTCGGTGCATGGGGAGCCCCAGGGATCCCCCAGCACCCTCCTTCCCATGGACACGGTGTGACCCACAGCCCAAGGGAAATCATGAAGGCTGGGCGAGGAACGCAGATAAACCCACCCAGGGAGAGGCCAGAGCATCGCTTCTGCTGGCCACAAGCCCTGGCTGGCCCCTGGCCCCTGGTCTGGAGCCAGGGGAGACCACAGCCAGGGCTGGGAAAGGCAACGCAGAGGGATAGGACAAGGGGCAGTGAAGCCCCGTCCCCATTGGGGTGACCCTGGCCCTGGTGGGGTGTCCCTGCCCCGGTGGCTGCCTCACCTTGGTCACAGCCATGGCACAGGCATGTCCCCAGATCTCGATGAGCTGCTGCCGCCCAAACCGATAATCCTCCAGCAGCTCCTTTTCGATGGCCTCAGCCTCAGCCTTGCTGCAGAGGGAGCAGACAGCGGTGAGGACAGGGACAGGGATGTCCCCCATCTCCCAGCACCGGGACCCCACTGCGTCTCTATGGTGTGGAGCAGGGGATGCTTGGAAACACCAGGGGCCGGTGGGTGCAGGGGGGTCCAGGGGCTGTGTTTCATGCGAGGCACCAGCCCTGGCAGCGGCCCCAGCTCGTGGCGGTGGGGCTGTTCCAGGAGGCAGAACAATGCTGTGGTTGTTCCTGCAGCCGAGCCCGGCGCTGGCAGCGCCCGGAGCCTCCACATCGGGCAGTAATCGCTCCCATGTGTTGGCTCACCTGCGGCGAGAACAGCGTGTGCCGGGGCCCAGCTGCAGGGTGGCCCCTGAGATCCACTGGCCCCTGGTTGCTCCAGGCCCTATTCCCGCCTGTCCTGGCTGATCCCAGCCCACCATCCCCTGCCCTGGACAAGGCCCGTCCTGCTGAGGCCTATGCACTCCAGAGATCCCATAGACCCAATCGAGCCCATCCCCTGGCCTTACTGACAGAGCCCAATGACCATCGTCCTGGCAGAGCCCCTCATCCTGCCCCATCCCATACAATCTTTTCCCATCCCATCCATCCTATCCTACTCTTATCTCATTCAATCTATCCCATTGCTATTCTTTCCCATCCATCCTATCCTTTCCCATCATATCCTATCTAATCCCACCCTTCCCCATGTCATCCTGCCCTCTTCCATCCCATCCATCCCATTCTTTCCCATCCCACCAATTCTATCCTATCCTTTCCCATCCTATCCTATCTTTTCCCATTCCATCGTATACTTTCCCATCCTACCTTATCACATCCATCCCATCTTTTCCCATTCCATCCTATCATTTTCCATCCTACCCTATCCCATCCCATGCTATTCCATCCTATTCATCCTACACTATCCCATCCCACCCCATCCAATCCTTTCCCATCCTACCCTATAGCATCCATCCCATCCTATCCTTTCCCACCTCATCCTCTCCTTTCCCATCCTGTCTAGCCCATCCTACACTGTCCCATCTTATCCTTCCCCATCCCATCCTGTCCCCAGTCCTTTGGTGCCCTCTAGTGAGCCCCAGCCCAGCTCCACAGCAGAGTCCTGGGGGCAAACGGGGGGAAAAGAGGCCAAATGCAGCCGGGGCCAGGCCTGGCGCAGCCCCGCGCAGCTGTGTTGTACCCAACAACAGGCACGTTCCGGTCCTGACAGAATTCCCTGTTCCAGGAGGGAGAACATTGCCCGTAATCGCTGCTGGCAGGAGACCCTGGGCCCGGGCCCGGGCTGGCTCCCGTTGTCCTGGCACCGGCCCCGCCGGGGGGGGACGTGTCACAGGGCTCCGGGTCCTGGCTCTTCCCTGCAGCGCTGCGGGTGCCCGTTCACTGCTCCCCGGGGCTGGGGATGTGCTGGGGAGGAAATGCTGCTCCTGCCCCTGCGCAGGGGTGGGCGCCCCTCGGAGCCCGCGGGGACCCAGCAAAGCCCAGGTCAGCCCAGTTCAACCCAGTTCCTGGTGCCTCCTGGGCGGGACGGGGGGCGGCTGTGCCGTGCTAAGGGACAGAGGGAGCAGGAGGCAGAGGAGCCGCCGGATGAGGGGATCGAGGGCACCCTCCGTGTCCCTTCCTGCCTCTCGGCTCCACACCCTTGCTCTGTCTCCCCTCTGCAGCCCAGTTCTGCACTCCAGCTCCACAGCCCAGCCCTGTGTCCCCCGTTGCATCCCAGCTTCACATCCCAGCTTCACATCCCAGGTCTGCATCCCAGCTCCGTGTCCTCCCTCTGCGCCCCAATTCCGTGTCCTCCCTCCACATCCCGGCCCCCGCCCAGGTACAAGCAGAGGGACACTGGAGGCACCAGCCCTGCCCGGGACCGGGATCCCCCCGCTCCGCTCCCAGTGCTGCCAGAGACATCCCCGCCGCAGCCATGGAGACCCGGGATGCGGTTGCTCTGGCAACGGGTCTATTTGGGTACCAGCCCCCCCCCCTCCCCGTCCGCCCCCGGGGGTGCGGGAAACAGGGATGGGGCTTTCCCGAGGGATCGGGTGTCCCGGGAAACACGCGTGGGGCCAGAGCCTCCGCATCCCAGCACGGAGGAGCCGACCCCGGGGGGAGGGTCCGGCTCCGCCACCGGGGCCGCGGGAGCCTCCAGCACCCGCCCAGGGTCCCCACCACGTCCCGCGGGACCCGGAACCGGCCATGTCCCTGCGGGCAGCTGGGACCTGCTCCGGGAACGGCGGCTGAGGGGGTCCCGGCTGTGCACCGGTGCGGGCGCAGGGTGATGGGCACAGGCGCGAAGTGACCCAGTGCCCCCCACCCCCCCGGGATTCCCGGTGCTCCCAATGCGCGGCCCGGGGGGGCTCCGGGCTCACCTCAGGTACCGGGGAGGCTCCCGGGCAGGGCCGGGCGCGGAGCTCATCGCGGGCAGGAGGTCCGGGCAGCGGCGGAGCCCTGCGGGAGCGGCGGCAGCAGCGGCTCGACCACCGGGCAGCCCCCCCCGCTCTCGGCGGTGCCGCCCGGGGGAGGTGGCTCCGGCTGCCCCCGCCCCGCGCGGCCCCGCTCCCCGGAGCACCGAGCATCGCCCCGGCCCCCGCCCGCGGGCGGAGCCGCAGCCGACGGGTGGGTGGAGGGCGGCAACCTCGGCTCTGACACCCCCCCCCCCACGCCCCTCCCCTCCCCGAGCAACAGGAAAGCGCCAAAGACCCAAAATCGGGGGTTTTCACCCCAACCCTCACCCCAGTGGAAGCCGCATCTGCAGCATCAGTGACCGCGGGGCTACCTCCGCCGAACCTCTCCCGGACCCGGAGACCCCCCCCAAACCCGAGCCCCCACCACCAGACCCTGGTAGTGACTGTGAGGGACAAGTCCCTATGGAGCGCACAGCAGATACCGGCCCCTTTGGCACCCAGAACGCGTGGCTCATCCCACACTCCCATCCTGATCCAGGGCTCCTGGATCCTACCCCCGGCCATGTGGGAGCAGGGAAGAGCCTCAAGCACACTCAGAACAGCCAAGTGTCCCACTGGGAAGGACACGGATCTGGACAGGAACACGAATGACACAGGTTTCGACTCAGCCATGTGGTTTTAATAACAGGAGCCGGTGGCACCGGGGGGGGGGGGTGACAGCACCCGGAGGAGTGACGGCACCCAGGGGGGTGACGGCACCCAGGGGGGGTGACGGCACCCAGGGGGGGTGACGGCACCCAGGGGGGGTGACACGGCCATGCCTCACACGTAGTACTGGAGCCCGAACTTCTCGTTCTCCACCTCACTGGTGGGGCGCAGGTAGTAGAGCTCGTCCAGTGTCGGGGGCACCCAGCGATCCGTGTGGAACAGGGACTCACCGACCTGGACAGGGAGGGAGCGCTGTGGCCACTGGCACCGTGACCCCCGCTCCAGGACACACACGTTCTGCTCGGAGCTTTCCAGGAGCTCTGTCACGGACCCGGCTCCACCGGGAAGGCTGGATCCTGCTCCGGTGCGAGGAGCTGCTGTGCCAGGAATCACCCCACCGCCCCCCTCCGCAGCGCCGGAGCCACAAACCTTCCAGCCAGGAACATCCTTCATGATTTTGGCCTCCTCGTCCAGGTTCTGCCGCAGGATGCGGAGCGTTCTGCGGGACAGGGCGAGGCTGAGCGCGGGGAGCGGCGCTGCAGCGGCCCCCGGTGCCCCCCGTGGCCCCCCAGCCCGGTACCTGCGGTCAGACTCCGCCTGCAGCAGCGGCATCAGCGCGATCCGAGCCTCCAGGTCCTCGATGAGGAGCCGCCTGCGTCGGGACAGACCGGGGGGGGGGGGGGGGAGTCAGAGCTCAGCGGGGACCGGGCAGGGAACCGGAGCACAGCCCCGGGGGGGGGGGTGTGTGTGTCACGGGAGAACCGGGGGGGGGGGCACGGGGGGCACCTGCGCTCCCGGTTCCACTTGACGACGGTGTAATAGCCCAGCAGGAGGCTGCCGACGCCGAGCGCGAAGAGGCTGTAACCTGCGGGGGGAGCGGTGAGGGGCACCGGGGGGCACCGGGAGACCCCCCCCCCGCCCGGCCCCGGCGCCCACCTGAGAGGCCGCGGCGAGGGAGGTGCCGCTTGTAGTCGATGGGCCCGTAGCCGCCCGGCGGCGCCATGTCCTGCTTCACCTTCGGCGCCGCCATCACGGCGGCCGCGCAGCGTCACTTCCGCCGCGCTGCAGGAAGCGGCCTGAGGAGACACACACATACCCCCCCCCCCCGCCTTAAAGGGGCAACGCCAAGTGGCGGGGGGGTGGCGGGCCCCACCGCAGCAGCAAGGGTGCACGGGGAGAGCAGTATGCGCTGCCTGGTGCGTGCTAAATGCGTGCAGCCCGCGGGCACCTTGCAGCAAAACCTGCGGGTGCAAGCGCGCAGCAGCAAGGGGGCATCCCCAGCGCAGCCACGGGCACGCACACGCTTCTAAGTGAGCGCTGAAGAGCGGGCACCCGCACCGGGAGCGCGCAGCCCCGGGCACGCACGCAGCAGCCAGTGTGCGGCAGCGAGCGGGCAGCCGGCAGCCAGCCTGCACCCCCCGTGAGGCCCTCGGTCACTTCAGATCAAGGTCACTCACGTCTAAGCTCTAATCGGTGCCCGTAATCCCTCGGCTGCTGCGAGTTAATGCCAATGCAGATGGTGCGGCTGAGGCTGCGGGGTGGGGGGAAAGGGCACCCCTGCAGGGGACACTCGGGGTCCCACTCCCCGAGGGATGGGGGAAGGAACCGGGGCAGGACGAGAGGGACACGGGGTTAACGATGGCTTCCTTGAACCAGCCTCTTCCATCAGGGCATTCCCGCAGGATGAGGCTGGGCTGAGGGCAGAGGTGCACCCGCTCGTGAGTCAGGCTGGCGCATTTGAATGAACTTTGGAATGATGTGAGGTATTCCAGGAGTATTGCAGTTGCTGAAACTCGTGTCTCGTTTCTACCCGGAGAACGCCCATATCTGCATCCATACAGCAGCTCTGAGGATGTTTAATCCGCTTGTGGCTTCTCATTCCAGTCCATGAAATCCCACACGTCTTCTCCTTCCTTTGCCGTTCTTCCCAGCAACGTGGTTTTGGGCAGGGGGAAGAACCTGGCCTCTCAGCTGGAGGAAAGGAGAGCACCAACACCGTCACCAAGAGGGCGATCCACCAGCATCAAGAACCAAGACACATTTCAAACCCAGCAGCCTCAAAGTAAGAGGCAGAACCTCTGCTTTGTCCATTTATTATTATGCAGCCCAAGGTCCCTGTTTTCCATCTCAACTGGGCTTGGGTACGTTGGGTTTCTCCCTGAGAAAACCAGGTCTGGGAATGCAAAGGTTCCCTAAAAGGATGATAAAAAGAGCTGTAGGAAAACAACCTGACACTAAATTATCTTGCATTTAAGGATAACCAAGAGTCTTCTTTGTTACAGCTGGAATATGATGAACAGGAATCCCTGGAAGACAAAAAGGTGCCAAATCACCCTGTGTGCAAACTGGCAATGCCCAAGTCAGCTGCTGAGCAGCAAAGGCTCAAGCAGGCCACTCGGTTCTGAGCGCAGGGCTGTCACTGTGCCACCCCTCAGCAAGCAAACTGATAGGACTAGATTAGCAAATGAAACAAAACCACACAGCTCCCAAAGTTGCAACACGGGTTTCAAATGAAAATCCGGGGTTTTATTTCACAAGTTGCTAAAATCTAAGTACAATAAGTCATTTTCATTATTACTGTATTATAAAATCTTGTCATCGCAAGGTCTCCCAAGAAAGGTTATATGGCTTGCAAAGAACCAACGCTGCTCTAACCCTCTCCCCAGGAGAGGGGGGAAGCAAGCAGCATCCGAGCAATGTCAAACCAGCTCATGCAGCAGTTTGCAGTGAAGCAGTGGAGGGCTGGGAACACGGGACACACCGGCTCTCCCAGCCGAGTGATGCCAGGGATGGGCCGGGGCTGCAGAGCGGCTCCTTCAGGCTCGTGTTCGGAAGGAGCTGGAAGGATTTTGTCTCTTCCAGGAGAGGAGGTGGCTTTGGGATGCTCTGCAGCAGAGCCACTGAGAGCCCTTACGGAGGCAGGGATCCCAAACAGAACAGCAGGAGAAATAAAGCAAAGATCCGGTCTTCAAAGCATGTCTAACACCCCCCCCACCCCCCCTTCACAATTCCCAAACCATGGAACCTTTAGGGCATAATACCATAATGTGAATATTCTGATCGAGCTTTTCTACCTATTGGTTGGGTTCTGCAGCTGGGTTTTGGTTTTGTCAGGTGGGGAGGAAGAGATTTGGAAAGACTCAGAGGTGTTTGAACAACATCTAAACCTAAAGTGGTACCTCGAGGAGCCCAGTCCAACACCATCAACTGAACCCACAGCTTCGACTACAAGGAAGAAACAATTCTGGCATTTACCACATTTTTACCACTTCAATCTTTTCCTGGTGCATTTATCTGGAACTTGGCAGAAACAGAGACGCAATAAATAGATCCTTCCATGTTACCTGCACCATGGGTTAATACCCATGTCAAAACAGTTGGAATCCCAACAGCCCAATATCTATGTTAGCTTCACAAAGCCTTCAAAAGAATTCTACCCCGATACATCAAATAGTATTTGCAGGGGTTTATGCTACATGAAACCAAACCAGATTGCTCCTTCGAAGCACAGGGTTTTGAAGTCAGTACATGCAGCCCCAGTTTCAGTTCCAAATCTTAAAATAGGAAGTTTTCTCCATTAGATTAAGGCTTAGTTTGTATCTCCTCTCTTCAACGCATATTAGTGGATACTCCCCTCTTAAATGGATATTCAAATTAAAATGTATAAGGTGCTGGACTGAACTGGTGGGATCCAGAAAGGTTCTGACACAGCTTTTAGAATAGACAAGCTCAATACTTCTGCCCATCATTTCAGCCCCCTTATTCCCAGCTGAAGCTACTCCAACAGCAGAAAGCAAGAGCGAAGTTGTCCAAGGCTTCCCCCAGCGGCTTCTGGGTTTTAGTTTGAGAAGTTCAGCTTGTTCTTTATGAGCAAGTGCACTCTCCCAAGTGCTCAGATAACGCAGCAGCTTGTCAGAAGAGAGCACAGGAAAGAACCAGCCCCAGCCCCCTCCTCCCAGGTGAGGAACTGAAACGTTTTCCTACTATTTCAAAGGTGGAAAAAATCAAATGCACTCAAATCTCTTCACTCCACATCTCCCGATCCAAAACATCTTGTAATGAAAAGGAAAATCAAAACCTCAAACCATATCCTCTCACCCCCATTTAGCTCTTCCTATACCTGTGTCGAGCAAACAAAAAACAAAGTCAAATTGAAATTCCAGGGCTTTTTTTTTTTCCTTTTTTTATACAGCAACAAATACCATTTTGCAAAACTAGGTCTTCTACTCTACTGAACAGTTTCCAAAGTATCTAAATACTGATATTCACACAACAGAAGAGGGGTGAAAATGAACGGGTTTGCTCTTTCACTATGCAACGGTTAGATCTGAAGGGGGACATCCCTAAACAGTTCTTGGTTTCAAGTGAGATCTAACAGCAACTGCTAAGAAAATAGATTCAGCATAGACTGAATAGTAACCCCTCCCCCCTTTTCTTTTTATATATAGATATATAGATATATATATATAATTTTGCAAATAATTCTTATCAGCACTACTTCTAGCACTGATATGCAACATAAGTAGTAAGGCATGTATCTCTGCCACTTGAATTCAACTGGGATTTGGGAGAAGCACAGGGAAGAAGGAGGGAAGATGATGAGAAGGAAGAAAAAGAAATCAAACAAAACTGGACCTGAAGGATTTGGGTTTAACCTGTGGAATCCCCAGAAAGGTATGAAAACCATGTAGAAACCTGTCCTTAAGGTTACCTAAAGCTCTAGCCAAAGTGAAGTACTGAAGGGATGACAGCGGAGCATGCTTGGAACACCTGGAAGGACACAGCTCGAGAGGGATCAAGGTCCTGCCCCCAACATCCTGGCACAGGCTGGGAACAGCTTCTCCATGGGAATGGGCAGAAGAAGGAGCAGCTCCCGGCCCTCAGCTCCCCCCGCTCGCCCTGGCTGATTGCAGCTTCTGGAATTCTTATTCTTTTTTTTTTTTTTGATTTTTTTCTTTCCCCCTCCCCACCCCCCCCCCCTTTTTTTTTTTGAGTAAAATTGCTCAAAACAATAAACAACAACAACAAAAAATAACCTTCCAGAAAGAAAATAATCCCAAACAGTCCCGCTCTGAAGTCTCTGGGAGCATCTGAAAGGCCCAACTGCTCTTCGCTGAATTAGAAAGACTGAACAAAAGGTGTTTGTCTATTGAGGAAATTAGATTTTTAGACTACCAACAGTTCAAAAAGTCTATTCCAAACAGAATCCAACAAAAGTGAGAGACTCCTGCACTGCTTCCCACCGACCTGACAAGTTTTGGTGGCAGCCAGTCCCTTAGGAAAAGAAAAAAACAACCCAAAACCATACTCGACTGGAACTGGAGTTTGCACTTATTTATCATTAGCTCATCATCAGAAGATTTGGAAACATTATAATCTGTCAACTGCCTTCCTGGCTGGAAAGGGGCAGGGAAGAAAAGCAAACATGAACTAAATGCATCTGCAAGACGGGGTTGAGATTCCTCTCTCCTTGAGCTGAGATCCTCGAACACCGTGTTCCTGGTGACTGGGTGGTTATGAATAAAGAAACCGAAGGCAGAGAGTCGAGTCCTCCTTTTGTGCTGGTGACAAAGGAATCCAAACTGAAGACAGAAAGCCAAAAAAAACTGAGAGAATTCTTCCCCTTCCCTGACAGCCTTCATCATCAGTCAATGCTCAGAATCTGAGAACCAAATGAGCTCAGGTCTTTCCCACCCACATGGTGTTGTCTTCTCATTGCAGGGACAGCAGCACTCGATGGGATGAGGAGTGGTCTTCTTGCATCCTATAAAGCCTGGGGCATATCCAGCTGGGATTAAAGCAGATTCCACTGTAATGTGGTATAAAAAGGATGGCAGAAACAGGAAAGTCTTCCTCTTGGGCATTCCTCTGCATTATTTCCACGTGGCGGACTGTGGGATGGACCGTGGGGGAATCATATCCAGGAGATATTCACGCTGGCGGTCTACTGCTGAGGAGGACTTGTGCACAGCTAAACTAGGGTTAACGAAAGGTAAAGCCCCACCTGATGAGACACAAAAGAGGAGAGAGAACAAGTGTCACAGCACGATACAAGCACAAGAAAAACAGTGGCAAAACCATGCTGCTCATCCCCCTGAAATCACCATCGAAGCACAGGGCACTACTGGCTGCAAAGGTCAGACACCTTCTGAAGATAAAAGGTTCTAAAACAGGAGCAAGGTTTTATACCAGAAATGAGGATTTGAGCTCTCTGCAATTAAACTACATATTAAATGCAAAATGAAGCTATCAGGAATAAAAAAAATCCAAAGAAATCAATTTAATACTGGGCAAGGGAGTAGATCACAAGCGACTGTTAGTGCAGCGTTTCCTTCCTGGAGATCCTATTTATCACTGAGGAAAACAAATGACTTGAGCTCTCAAGTCAAGATTCTTTTATATATATAGAAAAAGAAGATCAGATTAGCATTTATAATTTCCATTTGTTCAGAGCAACAGCTTTAGTCATTGCAAACCCTGAGGCATGCTGGCAGCATGTGCTGCAGCCTCACCTAGAGCAAAACCATCTGGTTACTGTATGTTGCCTTCCCACCAGTCAAACCCAACTGAACTGAACTCCCAGAAATGAATGACAGACTCCTGCAGCATGACACTGGCTGCTCAGGTGGCCTCAGGGATGCACAATGATGTTACATCTATTTAGTCTCTTTATAAATGTGCGTTTTTATTGGGTAGCATCACCTTGTTGCCCCTCTTGATGAGCCCCAAAAGTGTCAACACCACGACTAAGAGCAAAGCCGCAGCACCATCAGGCTTTCATGCAGAAAGTGGCAAAGAGAAACCAGCCTTACCCAAAGAACTATGATTGTTGGACAGAGTGCAGCTAGTAAGTACAAAGAGAAGAAGCTTTAGAGAAATAATCTACCTGTATTGACGGGAGTCTTCTTCCAGGCGGCAGCGCTGCCCTTGCTGACAGGTCTCTCAGCATGCTTACCTGGCCTACTCCCAAGTGCTGCTGCAGACGATGCATTCTGCAACTTGGGTGACTGGCTAAATGCATGCAACACTCCCCGGGGAGCTCCAGGACCTCGAGACATCTGGCTAGAAGTCTGGCAAGAGAGCAGAGAGTAAGACAGGCACTGCAGGTTGCTGGCTCTCAAGTACAACCACCCGGGGGAACCTTCACAGCCCCTTTTCTCTCCTCCCTTGGCTGCTTCTGCCAAGCCTAGACTATTATTTCTGCTACCAAGCCTACTACAGCTTCGGGGCTGGAAACTTCCAAGACTTCTCTGCAGCAAGATAAGAATCAGCTTTCTACTCCAGAAAGCACCTGTAAGGATTAGGAATTAGAATCAACTGCAAAGCAGCAAAAACGGTGCCGTGTGAGCACCTCTGTACACAGGCGTCACTTCCCTATCCTAAATAACCAGTACTCAACTCAAATCAGCACTTAAGCACTTCCTCCAACCAAAAGGTGGCTTTAGGGACCCAGGCTGTGTCATAGATGGTTGATACCATCACCTTAAAACTTCACAAGCAACACTGTGTGATCCTGGCTTAAGCCTTTTCCCCCCACCTCTATCTTAGGTCAACTGACACTTTCCATCTGGCACATCATAAGGAAAAATCTGGAACAGACTTTGCAGGATGCGAGTTAAACACCCTGGATAATTCCAACAACTCTGCAGAAAAAGACCATTCTCTTCTGTTCTTCAGGTACAGAGAATGTAACTGAACTATCAGGTTCCTGCATGAACAAATCCCACTGTAACCTGCCCGGTTCAGTCAGGCACCCGGTTAAGCTTGCGCTCAAACACACACACGGCAGAGCCTAAAGAAAGCTAGGCCATGCTTCCATTTCGTGCCTGTACACCAGTGTGCATGGAGCCACAGGACTCTTGCCCCATCATCACCAAGACCTGGCTCCTGGCAGATTGATCCTCACCTGCTTGAGTGAGTGGTGCTGCACTATAGGGTCTGACTTGGTCTGTACAGGAGCTGAGGTCTGCTGCAGTATCCTCTGCTCGATCTCCTGCTCCTGCTGCAGTGCTTTGACGAAGGCAGCTTTCAGTCGGTTCGTGTGCTCAGCTTTCAAGGCCTTTTTCTGGTTGGATGTCATGCAGGTTTCACACATAATGATGCCGTTCTTCTCCTCCCTCCAGCGGCAGGTGAAGTCAGTCTTACACTGAGCACACATGTAGGGCTCACGAGATGATACAGCCACCGAAACTTTACCTGGAGAACACAAGCAGCTTAGCTCAGCTCCATCTGGGGCTTCTATGAATCAACAATACTTGAGAAACCTCAGCAATATTCCAGCTAAAGAAAGGCAAACCATCCACCCTTCGCTCTCCTTTTGCATTTACTAAACCTTGAAACTCTTGCTTGTGTGAGTGTGTGTGTAGGAATCCAGCAGATACTTC